CACAAATTACCCAACAGGTGTCTCAACTCCCCAAAGCAACAGATGGTGTTCATCTCTTGGCCTCTGTGTCGTCATTCATCCCTGATTGTTTGGGGAAGCCCACTCCACCTCTGTGACAGACCCACAGATGCAGATTTACACAAGGACTCCTAGACAGACACAATGAACAAACTCCCGTCTGATCAGAGCCAAGTCCCGGTAATAACATCAATGAATCATCGACTTCAGTGAGTCACAATCTTGAGCTGGGAGAGGCCTCCAAGACCTTTTTAGTCCAACCCTTTACCTTCTAGTTATTCACAAGTGAATAGAAACTGAGTGAGGTCCAAAGAGGGAAAGTGACTGGACCAAGATCATAAAGCTTGGTAATGCCAAAGGCGAGACTGGAAGCCCTGGGCCCTGGGCCCTGAGCCCCAGGCCCGTGCACTTTCTACACACCCCTCTGCCTGCCACCACCTGGCTGGCACAGAGAGCAGGAGGGAGGGCATAGGCCCCTCATGACTTAGCCAAGGGCAGCTCAGTGTCTCCATGCAGGTGGACTCTGCGTGTCAGCTTCAGCCCTCCCTTGGGAAGGGAAGGGCCTGGGGCCGTCCTCACACCCCAGGCGCCAGGCCGCGGAGCTATAGGAGGCAGCTTCCTGCTTGGCTCTTATCCAAGGCCATTTCACAATGGGGGGAAGAGCGCTGAGCTGAGAGTCCCGGGTTGCTGCTCACTCCACCCCCACTCCAGCCCCTTTCAGACCCCCCAGGGAGAATGAGCCAGGCCCCGCCTGAGGCTTGGGGCAAAGAGAGCCGCAAGAATGGAGACAGGCTGAACAGCCCCTATTGGGAGTGTTTTATGAGCCGTGTCCCTGGAGCTGGACCAGGGCACCACCTTGCATGTTACCAGCCCTCTCCCCCTTCCCTTGCCATCCACCTGCAAGCATTCAGGCTGGGGAAGTCCCTTCTAGGACAGGAGTGGTGGCTTCCAGTCAGCCCCATAGCACTCTCATGATTAGTCAGAGGGGAACCTGGAGGCAAGGAGGCCCACAAGCTGGGAGACAGGCAAGGCCTGGGTCACTTCCTGCAGTGAGGCAATGTGACTACCAGGCAGAGGAGCCCAAATTTCTCCTCCTAACATGCTACAGGGTCTGGGGTGAACTGTGGCTCAGCTGACTGAAATTCAGGCAGGAACCAAGACAGAGACACTGAGACGGGACATTCAGCCAGGATTTCTTATGCCCTTACTACTCAGGGTCGGCTTTTGAGCTCAGCTCTGTAAGGGATCTTGTTTGAAGTGGGAGGCAGTGGTTAAGGACCCAAATCATCCTGTCTTCGAGTCTTGAAGAGGAGAAAAAGCAAACCTAGGTGAAATGTCAAACCACAAGACAAGGCAGTGTGAAGTGAGGGCCCACACTTTCATGCTGGACAGTCCAGTACGGCCAATGGAGCGGGGGTGGGGAGAGTCACTGCAGACAAATCTTAGGGGAAGAGATGGAACCGAGAATGGCGGGGAGAACTTGACTTTGCAGACAGGATGGGAAAGATCTTTCAGACAGGGAAGGGAAGACAAGGCAGAAATGAACCCGCCTATGTGAGGACAGGACCCTGTTTGCACCGGGGGTGGTCAGCCACGAGGCTGGAAATGTGCCTGGCCACAGGGCACTTCCTCACTCTGAGCTCTTGCTACTTGAACAGAGCCTTCCTTGGTATCTGTGGGAAGTTGCTGGCCTACTGAGGCAGGATAGCACACAGAGAACTAGGCAAGGGTGTGGAGGTATCAGGGAGCTCAGCCCCTTGGTGGAGGAGCCCTCTGACAACAGGAAGCAGCTGCAGCAGGCTCCAGGGCTGTGCTGGTATCTGCAACTCTCCCCCTACCCTGGCTGCACCCTGCAGAACAAACTGTTCTTCAAGAAGCTCTGGGGACAGAGGGCCCACACCTGCTCTCAGGTCGGGGTGGATAAACCCCCATCAGCCAGGCTGGGAGCCCAGCAAAGACATCACACAGCTCAGTAGTCCTCCTTACCCCCAGCCCCCTGCCTCCAGACCAGGTTGCAGTTGACTATGGCAATACAACACAAAACAAGAGCTTTATATTATTATTATTATTATTATTATTTATAGAGATTGGGTCTCACCATGTTGCCCAGGCTGGTCTCAAACTCCTGGCCTCAAGTGACCCTCCTGTCTCAGCCTCCCAAAGTGCTGAGATTACAGACATGAGCCACGTTACCCAGCCAAGAGTTTTGGAGAGGGAAATGAGAACCGAATCTTCATAAATACCTCATCCTAGAACTTCCAACAATGTCTCCAAAAATAGTACCTAAATTCCAGGCCTCAAACCCTAAATTGAGTGGGGATGTGAAGTGGTTATGGCTTTTCAGAAACAACACTGGAGTGGCAGCTGAAGCACTGAGTTCTAATCTGAATTCTGCCACTCATTGGCATGGGACCTTGGACAAGTAACTTTTCGCTGGACTTGAGTTTCTTCCTCTGTAACTTGGGGAGTTGGGACTGAGCTGTAAAGTCCCTTCCAGTTTTAAATGTGAGACTCCGGCACTCTCAGGTAACTTGGGGACTGCCGTAGTGACTGTTTGGGGGCTAGTATAGCTGGGAGAGAAATTAGGATGAGAATCCAATTGAGGCCAAGATAAAATGGAATTGTACGCTATTCAGAACTTGAAACAGGGTGGGAGTTTGTTTCCCCCAGATCCTCACCGTAAAGAGATTTGGAAGAAAATCTTGGGAGATTTGGACTGAGAATGTCTTAAGAAGAGGAAGTATTATAGAAGAAGGTTCCCCAGCACTTGGTGGGGAAGAGCTAGAATTCTTCCAGATTGCTTGATGAGCAGAACTTGGGGAGTGGGGCACAGTAATACCAGGAGAGACATATCCCCTCCTCCCAACCCTCTCCACTTAAGCTGCTCCTTAAAATTCCTATAACTGGGGACCAGGCCTTTCATTCCAGTTACAGCTAAAACTTAACATGGCCATTTAAATTTCCATGAGGTAAAAATGGCTAATATTCTCTCCTTCTAAGATCCAGCATATGCTGAGAGAGACCTTCAGAGGAGGTGGGAGCTGGAAGAAGGAGTGAAGGTGGAGGCCCAAAGATCACACAGGAGCCATGCTTTTTCTGAAGCCAGATCCAGGCTTAGCAGCTCAGAGCAGTTGCCCATGGGCAGTGATGTGGAGGAAGGCCCTGGGCTTCCTAAGTGCCTCTAGGTCACTCTGTGAAACCTCTCACATTGGCCTCCCTGGGAGGAGGAGCCCAGTGTAGCCCCCACCTGTCTATTGCCGGCTCATCTTCCAGGGTGTTGAGGGGACGGGTAACATGGCTCTCTGCCCCCACCAGTTACCCACATGGCTTGGGTCAACTAGACTCTGTCAGAGCTGTTTAAGGAACCACAAACCTCGGCTTTTGGAGGCAGCTCCAGGAAAACGTGGAGTGTGTGAGGTGGAAGGCGGGTGAGAAAGTGTGTAAGAGGGAATGCACTGTTCTCTACTGGCCCTTTGCCAAACAGCAAAGGGAGAGAAAGGGAGAGAGGAGTAACAAGGCCAGACTACGGCCACGTTCAGTGATTTTCAACTGTGGCCCAAAATGAGGTAGATATAGGCTAGGCATGGTCTGTGTGTGTGTGTGTGTGCGCGTGTGTGTGTGGTGTGGGGGGGGTTTGATGTGTGTGTGTGTGTGTGTGCGCGTGTGTGTGTGGTGGGGGTTTGATGTGTGTGAGGAGTGGGGGTAGTGTAGGGGGTTGTGTGTTTGTGTGTGTGGGGGTGGTGTGGGTGTGTGGGTGTGGGGGGGATGATGTGTGTGTGGTGTGGGGGCTGTGGTGTGTGGTTTGTGTGTGGGGTTGTGGTGTGCATAGTGTGTGGGGGTGTGTATGGGGGTGCAGGGTGTGGGGTTGTGTGTGGTGCGGTGTGTGTGTGGTGTGTGCAAAGGCCGGGGGTTGTGGTGTGTGTGTGGTGTGGTGTGGTGCGGTGTGGTGTGTGGTATGTGTGTGGGGTCAGGTGTGTGTGGTGTGGGGGTGTGGTGTGGGGTGTGTGTGTGTGTGGGGTGTGTGTGTGGTATGTGTGTGTGGTGTGGGGGGGTGTGGTGTGTGTGTGTGGTGCGGGGTGTGGAAGGTGGTGTGGTGTGTGGTAAGTGTGTGGGGTTGTGGTGTGTGTGGTGGCTAGGGTGGTGGGGGTGCGGTGTGTGGGGTTGTGTGTGGTGCGGTGTGTGTGGTGTGGGGGTGTGGTGTGTGTGTGGTGCGGTGTGGTGGTGGTGTGGTGTGTGGTGGGCGGTGTGGGTTGTGGTGTGTGTGTGGTGTGGGGTTGTGGGTGTATGGGGTGCGGTGTGTGGGTTGTGGGTAGTGTGTGTGGTGTGGGGGTGTGGTGTGTGTGTGTGAGCAGGGGGTGTGGTGGCGGTGTGGTAAGTGTGTGGTTGTGGGTGTGTGTGTGGTGTGGGGGTTGTGTGTATGGGGTGTGTGTGTGGTTGTGTGGGGGAAAGTGGTGTGTGTGGTGTGGGGGTGTGGTGGTGTGTGGTGGTGCGGTGTGGTGCGGTGTGGTGTGTGGTAAGTGTGGGGTTGTGGTGTGTGGTGTGGGGGGTGTGGTGGCTGGGGAAAGTGTGTGTGGGCTGTGTGGTGTGGTGTGTGTGGTGGGGGTGGTGTGTGTGGTGCGGTGTGGGCATGTGTGGTGTGGTAAGTGTGTGTGTCAGTGGTGTGTGGTAAGTGTGTGGTTGTGGTGTGTGGTAAGTGCGTGGGGTTGTGGTGTGTGTGTGTGGTGGGGGGGGTGTGGTGTATGGGGGTGCGGTGTGGGGTTGTGTGTGGTGCGGTGTGTGTGTGGTGTGTGGGTGTGTGTGTAAGGCATGGTGGATGTGTGTGGGGTAGGGATGAAGTATGTGTGTGTGTGGTGTGGGGAATGTGTGGTGTATGGGGAGGGTGGGGATGTGTGTGTGGAGTGTGGGTGGTGTGTGGTTGTGTGGAGTGGTGTGTGTGTAGGGGGCGGGTGTTGGCCTGGGTGAGCACTGCCAATCCCAGTAGAGAAGATGCCAAAATTCTGTATTTACTGTCAGGGCCAATGATGCTGGAAACTGCAGAACCAGCACCCCCAAAACCAGGCCCATCCCAAGACACTGCTTCTCACAGCCAACCGGAGGAGGAGGGAGGGCGAGAGGCCTGAAGCGGAGGCTTCTTCTGGAGGAGTGCTGGCCAGGCCAGCAGCCTTCCTCACTTCAGTGCAGCCTTCCCCTTCTAGCCAGCGATGAGCATTTAGTGAGCAGCTCCTTTGTCCGCGGCAAGCCTTCTCCAGGTCTGTCTTCAAAAGCGGATGCTACCTGGTGGGAGGTGCGGAGTTATACATACAAGAAAGGGCTACAGGATGGTATCACTAGTGCCACGCTGTGAAGGAGGTGGACTTTGAAGGGAAGACAGAATTTAGAAAAACAGACTAGTGGACTAGTTAATGCGGGGAGCAGAGAGGCATTTCAGGCGGGAGAAGGAGAGTGATGTGGGTTTGAGGGAAGAGAGGCCTCTTTGGTTGTACGTTCTGACAACTATTCCTTGACGCCAGCGGGGCCTCCTGCAGTTGGATTCAGTGTCATTTCTGACACTAACTACCTGCAGTTAGCGTCTGTGATATTGTGAAACAGGTATTAGGTCTTCATTCCTGACATACAACTCCTAAAATCCTTGGAAACTCCCAAGTGATAAGTGTCTTTTTGCACACTAAGCCCCTAGGTAGCTTCAGGATGGGAGCTGGCACCAGAAAGACCAAGACAAGGTTAGAGGATTGGAACTTTCGGCCCCACCCTTCAGCCTCCAGGGAGGGAAAAGGGGCTGAAGTTTAAGTTGATCACCAGTGGCCAATGGTTTAGTCAATCAGGCTTACGTAATGAAGCATCCATAAAAACCCAAAAGGGCAAGCTTCAGAGGATTTCTTGATGGCTGAACACGTGGGGATTCCTGGAGGGTGGAGTACCCACAGAGGCTGAAGAAGCTCCACCCCTCCTCCATAGCTCACACTATGCATCTTTTCATGTGTATCTTGTGGAATATCCTTATAATAAGCTAACACATGTAAGTGGGTTGTCCCTGAGTTCTGTGAGCTGCTTTAGTGAACCCCAATTAGCTGGTCAGACAGAGCAGTGGAGAAACAACCCAGGGCTTGCACTTGGCATCAGAAGTGAGGAGAGGGGACCGAGTTCTCAATCTGTGTGATCTGATGCTGTCGGCAGGTAGAGTCAGAATCGAACTGGAGGACGCCCCACTGGTGTCTGCTGCAGAAATGACAGCTTGCTTGGTGGGTGGGGGAGACCCCTGCCCCCATATCTGGTGTCAGGAATGTGTTGAGAGAGTATAGGAGGAAAAACCGAGTTTGGTTTTTTTAGTGTCGGACTCCACAAGTTAAATGTCAAAGTCCCGTGACTCCCCTTACTTCAGAACTCAGGCGCACGCAGGGTCCACAGGCTACTGGCACTTCTGTCTGACTTCACTACAAATTTGAGTCCTCACCACCCAAACTTAGGGTTCAGTAGTTGGCTACAATGGCTCACAGAACTCACTGAGCATGCTAAACTTACAATTAATTTTATTATCATATAGACTCAGAACAGCCAAAGGGAAGAGCTATGTAGGGCAAGGTGTTGGCGGGGTGGGGGGGTGTATGTGTGCAGACCTTCTACACCCTCTCCTCTCGTGGAATGTGGCATGTCCCCCTCCCAGCACATTGGTGTGTTCACCAACCGGGAAGCTCCTCTCAGTTTCAGTGTCGAGCTTTTATATGGGGCTTTACTCCATAGGCACCATTGATTGAATCATTAACCACATGAGGAACTCAATCTCTAGTCCCTCCTTCTCGCCCCAGGGGTTGGTGGTGCGGTGGGGATGGGAGCAGGGACAAAATTTCCACACTCTGATCACATGCTTGGTCTTTCTGTCATGGCCAGTCTCCCTTAAAATTAAGGACCCACCTTGAGTTGCCTTCTTATCATAACCTCAGGTATGATGAAAATGCTCATTACAAATGACAAAAGGCATTCCTGTCACTCAGGAGATCCCAAAGGTTTTTAAAGCTCTGTGCCAGGAAAGGGGGACAAAGACTGAGTGGGCTTTTAAAAAAGTCATACCAGAGATTGTAATGGACAGTTCCTAGGGAAAGGAAGTGGGAGCTGAGGATGGAAAGGCAAGGTGGGGCAGATGGAGAAGGTCAGAGGTGGATGGGTACGGGGAGGAGAAATCACCGCTCCCTCCCGAGGAAGTGCAGGCAGAGGAGAAGCAGTAGACGCCACTCCCTCACTTGAGTGTCTTGGCAGACTCTTTCACTCTTCCAGTAAGTTTAATTTTCCCCCAGGTAGTTCGTCCAGGAGGAGGCATCCTTCAGTCTCGGCTTTGGCACCAAGGTCCCCACAACTCAGGGCCAGGTTCCCTCGTGCAGCTCCTGACATTCCCCATGCTTCAAATACCACCTCCTTCTAGAAGGCTTCCCTGATTACCCACGTGGGACATGCCCCTGCCCTGAATTCTGAAAGCCCTTTGAAATAGTCCCCTACTGCCCCACGGGGACGTCAAGACAACTTACTGTGGCACATTCCCGTCTCCCTAGTTTGATCCTGAGCACTTTGCCTTACCCCTTTCTGCTTCGTTCCAAACAGCCAGCGCTATGTGCTTCAGAGAACATTTGTGAGCTCTGCAGACATTCTCCATCATCATCAGCTCCTCCTCTGCCCCTGATGAACTTACTGCCTTCCCTTGCAGAGCCCTGCCTCTGAATCGCGTGTGAACGTCTGCCCTGCCAGCCTGTGGGCTCCTCCAGGGAAAGAATGTGTGTCTACCTTCCAACCCTGACAAGCAGCTGGTGCCCATGTGTGCAGGGTGAACTCAGTCACTTTCTCCTAGACAGCATCACCTTTCTCACATTTAGGGAAAATCAAGAGTAAGGGAATGAGTTACTTATTCTCATGGAAGAGTGGGAAGAGTGAGAAGAAAGTTAGGGGTTGAAGCAGGACTCACACAAAGGCAATTCTGGCCTCTTCCCACAGGGCCCGGGGCCCCCTGGGTCTCTTGCCAGGACACTGTTCTCGGTGGGTGCTCCACCAGGAGGCAGGTAACTGGCGGGATGAGAGGTCAGACCAACCTGGACCTGTGACAGGCAGGCACAAGGGCAGCATGAGCATCCCGCTAGCCTTTGGGGACAGCCTGGCAGAAAGGAGTCATTCTGGGAACCTGCGAAGGTTTTCCCCTTGAATGGCTTCCAGCCCCTGGACAACCCCAGAGCAGTGTCCCAGCCTCGGTGAGCTAGAGTTTACCCACTCACACTCATGGTTACCACCCAGAGGCCCAGGCTGAGGGGGAAGGAACCGCCTGCTCAGCCCCCACTGAGGCCGGCCCGGTGCTCCTCTTGGCAGCACTCTGCGCATCCTCAGGGGGCAGACCCCCGGTGGGGTGAGTGGCACAGCCCAAGAATGAAGCTCCCTTCTGCCTCCCCTGGGCAGGTCCTATGACTTGGAGGAAGTGTCTCCAGAGAGTGGCAACTAGACATGAAGTGGGACACGGTGCCCGGGGTTTCTCAGTGGCCTCTGAAGCCGCCCAGAGTCAGTGAGAGTATCTTGGTCTCTCTCTGTGGGCTTCAGGGCCTCTGAGGCAGGGGTTTGTCTCTGGGATCCCTGGATCACAAGCCCTGTGACTCTTCCACAGCCAGCTTCCCACCCCACACCCCTGCGGGGCGTGCTACGCCACATCCTGGGGGAGCCACCATTTGGGAATGGATGGGATGGAAAAGGCTTGCTCCCAAGAAACAGTTAATCCTCTCCCCTTCCCCCAGGCCCCTTGCACCTGCAGGCTGCGGTGTGTGGTTTCCCACAGCTGCAGCTGGCTCTGCAGAGCCCCTCCCTTTGAGGGAACCTGAGAGGCTCAGGGCCTGAGGCACCAGGAGGGGCTTCTCGCCCTCCGTCCAGCTGCTGGGGATGGCATGGGAGGGCCTGGCTGCCCTCTGACCTGGACACACCACAAGAGTGCTCTGGTTGAGTGACCCATCTGTGATTCCTGGCTTGCAAACCAAAGGCAGAGATTCCAGTTTGGGAGGTCAGAGAGGTTTCTGAGAAGGGAAATCAGTCATGAGGCCCCTCAGCCCTGGGCTTGCTCCGGCTCTGCTGCCTTCTGGAAGAAGCTGACTGGTCTGGGTGTGGGCTGGGCATTCCCCTGGGGTAAGACGCAGTGCTCCAGAAAGAGAGGGTGAGTGGAGGGTAGAGGTGAGTGGGAAGGACCGGGAGGAACAGGAGGAAGTAAGGTGTGGCCGGACCAGGCCTCTGCTGGTCAAGACAGCCTTGAAGCCGTGGTGCTGGCACTCTGGCAGGCTCAGCCCTCTGGCTATCCCAGAAGACGGCAGGTTGCCACAGAGCCTGGGCAAATACCCAGCTGCCCTCTGAGCCACGTGTTCCAGGGACACCTCTGAATACTGCTTATGCTGAGACAATGAGACAGAAAGTGCCAGGAGCTTCCTGGCTGGGACGCATCTTCAGGAGCATTAGCCTGGAGCAGAGGCTGAACCATCCTAACAGCTTGCCCACGTCCCCAGCCCCGGGCTGCCGGGCAAGTGCTCACATCCCCCGGGGACAGGTGGATGGCACACAGGGTCATGGCAAAGGGCTGCTCACTGGGTCCAGAGCCAGGACCTGGGAAGAGGGAGGGAGATGCAGGAATCTGACAGGCAGGAGCCTCACAGGGCCCAGGGCTCTGGCTTCTCTCAGATCCAGCTCCAGGCAATGCTTCAGTTCAGCACTCTCCCTGCAGGGCCGCGGGGCCTTGGGCTCGGGACTTTGGTGGCCTCCTGTCTGCAGAAAAGCCCCATCCCCACTCAGAGACAAGTCCCCACCCCAGAGCAGGAAGAGAGAGGACGATTGAGCAAAGGAGGCCTGAGGGGAAACAGAGACACCCCTCTACAGGAGCCCCTGAGTCAGGTGTGGGAGGAGGGAGAGGCAGGGCCCAGCAGAAGCCACTGTTTGCACCACACTCCTCTACTTCAGGCGGAGACCAGCTGCAGGGTGGCAGCCAGCGCTTGGAGGAGGTGAGGGAGCGTGCCGGCGCGGCACCCAGCAGCCTTCATTCTTGGCTCCCACACAGCTTGATGCTCCTTTCAGGGTATAACTGATGCCAACCACCCAGGGCCGTGGCCAGGAGTCCACTGTGTACTCAGACCGTGCTTGGCCCATTTGCAGCAGTGCCACAGGGCCACGGGCGCAGAGCTCTGGCTGGGAGTCACTGCCAATTCACAGTTTGCCCTCAGGTGCGTGGAGGCAAAGGCCTATGAAAGACGAGCTTGGCACTCCTGGGGAGAGGGCACGAGGCAGGTGATCTGCCCACAGTGGCTTATTTGTGGCTTCATCACTGTGATGACACTATGTTTGGCATTTCCTCATTATTGTTATCCAGACCCCACGTATCAAGAAAAGTACAGGAAATCTGCTGTTGGGACAGCGGCAGCACTATGTGGGGTGCTACCTTCTGATCTGGGACTTAAACAGCATTGCTATTTTCCTCCTTGCTCCAAGTCATCCATTTTGACAATTTTGTATCAGCGTGGACCCTTCACCGAGACTGAAATATCTGTTATTGAGTTAGGGATCTTTCTATTAATGCGTTTATTTAGTATTTCATTCCAGACATTCAGTGAGTGCCTGCTGTGTGTCATCCATTGTGACAGTGTTGGGAACACGGTGATGAATGAAACAAGGCCCCTGTCCTGGGTGAGCTGAGAGGCCACACCCCACCTGTCAGCTGACATCGTAGGGAGGACACCATCTACATCCGACCCTGACTACTGAACACTTTCAGTTTCTTGGAAGAAAGATTTTAAAATCTTCAGAAAATGAGAATGCCTCCAAATAGAATTTTAATTTGTTTCATATATTTAAAAATTTTACACTTTAATATGTAACAGTCATATGGTTCACATACAAAAATGACATCAATGGCTCAGTGAGAAGTTTTCCTCCTAATTTTTCCCTAACAGTTCCCAATTTCTGATATAAAAAATGTTATGTCCTTGCAGGATTTACTTATGTAAATACATGTTCTTAGTTTTCCTCTTCATTATTCCAAAGGTTGTTTACTGCAAACAAGGTTTTTCTTGCTCATACATCCTGGACATTGTCCCATATCCACACAGAGAAGGTTCCCCATTTTTTCTTACAGCCGCAAAGTGTCCCTTGTTCTAAACCGTCTTCTATTGATAGTACTGGGTGGCTGGTGCCCAATCTTTTGCTCTCAGACTGTGCCATGTGTGTCCTTTCAGATGTGGGCAGGTACATCTGTAGGATGTGTTCAAGGGTTTGTAATTGAGAGATTGCAAATTGTCCTCCATAGAGGTTGCACTGCTTTCATCCCCACCAGCAACATATGAAAAGACCTGTTTCCTGTTTTCCCTAATAGGCTGCTATTTATTTATGTATTTATTTACTTATTTATTAGAGCCAAGGTCTCACGCTGTCACCCACGCTGGAGTGCAATGGCGTGATCATAGCTTACTGCAGCCTCAAACTCCTGGGCTCAAGCGATCCTCCTGCCTCAGCCTCCTGATTAGCTGAGACTACAGATATGTGCTACCACACCCTGTGCTACCACACCCTACTAATTTTTCACTTTTTGTAAAGACAGTGTCTTGCTATGTTGCCCTGGGGTAGGGGGGTCTCTGACTCCTGGCCTCAAGCAATCCTCCCGCCTCCACCTCCCAAAGTATTGGGATAAGCTAATATTTTTAAAGAGAAAGGAAGGAGGCAATATGAGTCTTCTAAAGAAGAAAGGTAGGAAGAAGGTGAAGCCCAGACAGAAGCCTGGAGCACACAGAGCTTCAGCTACTGCCTGCAGCTTTGCTTATGAGGCTGCACAGATGGCTGGGGACTAAGTGCCTTCGGGCCATGATGTTTTATTTGTGTTTGAGCAGTAAGCCTTACAGCTGATAAGTGGGTTTTTTTCTCCTGGGGGAGCACGGGATTCTAGGAAGACAGTCTATGAGAAGAGCCTGAGGGAAGAAAGTGTAGTTGGTACCTGGGGGTGCAAGGCTGTGTCTTGGTCCCTTCAGGCTGCCATAGCAGAATACCATAGACTGTGTGGCTTAGAAACGACAGAAATTTATTTCTCACTATTCTGGAGGGTGGGAAGTCCAAGATTGAGGTGCCATCAGATTCGGTGTCTGGTGAGAGCCTGTTTCCTGGCTCATAGACCGCATCTCTCACTGTCCTCACCTGGTGGAAGGGTGTCACTGGGGACTGAGTGTCTTCATTTTTATCAGTGCTTCTTTTGTAAGGGCACTAACGCCCTTGTGCGGGCCCCACCCCCGTGACCTAAGCACCTCCCAAACAGCATCACCTCAGGGGTGAAGATTTCAACATGTGAACTGTGGGGGGCACAAGCATTCAGAACATAGCAAGTGGCATATAAAAGTGCAGACCACAATGTCCAGCAAATACATACGCATTTCCAATAGTCAGGGGAAGAGACACAGGGAGAGGTGGAGGAGGGTGGAGAAGAGGAAAGTCTTCTCTGAGGAGGTAACATTTGGGCAGAATCCAATTCATAGATCTGGGAAGAAAAGTTCCAGCAAAGGGACAAGCAAGGGTCAAGGTCCTGAGGGGAAGGAGAGGAGAGGGGCCTGCTCAAGACAGTGAGTGACATCGGAGGAACTGGGACATGGACAGCAAAGCTGGGAGCCCGGGGGGTGCTGGACCATGGAGAGCCTGGAAGGCCACGGCAGGGAGTTTGAGGTTTATCTTAAGAATAATGAAAAAAAGAAACTGGTCAGAAAAACCACATATTGCATTTTTCCATTTCTACAAAATATCCAAAATAAACAAACCCAGAGAGGCGGAAAGCAGATTCTTGGTTGGCTGGGGCTGGGTAGATTGGGAGGAAATGGGGAGTGACTAATAACGGGTGCTGGGTTTCTTTTGAAGGATGATTAAAATGTTCTAAAATTGATTGTGGTGATGCTTGCACAACCCTGCAAATAGACTGAAAAAAAAAAAAACAAAAACCATTGAATTGTATGCTTTCAGTGGGTGAATTATATGATATGGGAATTACATCTCAAGCTGCTTTATTTATTGATTCATTTATTTATTTTGAGACAGGATCTTGCTCTGTCACCTAGGCTGGAGTGCAGTGACATGACACAGTCACAGCTCACTGCAGCCTTGACCTCCTAGGCTCAAGTGATCCTCCTACCTCAACCTCCTAAGTAACTGGAACTATAGGTGCACGCACCACTGTACCCAGCTAATTTTTAAGGTTTTTTTGTTTGTTTTTTGTTTTTGTTTTTGTTTTTTGTAGAGGCAGGGGTCTCGCTATGTTGCCCAGGCTAGCCTCAAACTCCTAGGCTTGAGTGATCCTCCTGCCTTGGCCTCTCAAAGTGCTAGGATTATAGGCGTGAGCCACTATGCCCAGCCTTGTTATTTTTTTAAAAAGGATTTTAAAAATTAAAAATATAAAAAGGATAATAGGAAGCTGTTAGAGGGTGATTTAATCAGCAGTAACATCCTCCCTCAGGCTGTCATGGGAGAACAAACTGTAGGGAGGGGAGAATGGGGGCAGGAGATGGTCGGGAAGCTAGTGCAGTGGACCAGGCAAGGAGCAATAGTGACTTGGCCTGGGTCAGTCGCTTTGCAATGAGGATTAATGAGAAGGCCGGACTGGGGTATTTTCTGAAGCTAGAGTTTGATAATTAATTGGATGTGAGGGGTGGGAGAGAGAGATGAATCCTGGCCATTTAACTGTAGTAAAAAGACTGGAGGAATAGTTGGACAATGGGAGGGACGGGGTATACGAGCTGTTTTGGACATGACAGGCCTCCGGGGTGTCCACTAGGCAGAGGGGATGTCAGGGCAGGGTCACCACCACGTAGATGGTCACTGCCAAGAGCCGGACACTCCTCCAAACACATACATTAAATCATTTAGTCTTCTCAGTAACCTCTGAGGCGAGAGCTGTAGCTATTCCTGTCCATACGGGGCGAATTCTATGTGCCACTTCAAATGCCCACAGCCTCACCTCTTGTTCCAGCCATTGCCCCAGTGACCAGTTTTGCACGGGTCTTGACCAGCGCCGTGTAAATGCGGCCTGACAGGGCCTTTCCACATGCCTCTTGCCTGACACCATGATGGGGGGATACCCGTGGAACCTGCTTGGCATTGACACATAAGCTGGCCAGAAGTGAAGGGGAGCTAACATGCCATGGGATGACTCGAGAGGAGCCAATGGATAACTGTGCTCCTTCTTCCAGTGGGTTCTGAAGTACATTTCACAAAGCTTCACTGAAAGACTGAGTGGTGTTCACATAGAGAGATGTTAACACACTCCCACATTGACTCCCCGCTTTCTCTGTTTCTTTCCTCCTCCGCCTCACCCCTGCTCCCTGGGATCATGTTCCCAAATAAACTACTCATGCTTAAACCTTTGTCTCAGGCCCCATGTAAGACCCGATCCTACATGAAGAATTTAACAGCAACAACATCACACCAGGGACAGAGCAGGGGTTCACACCCCAGCAGGCTTCTCTACTCACTTCCATGTTGCCTCTCAAAGATCCCAACCTCTAGAGGACATTTAAAGGCACAGGCCTAGATGGAATCTAACCATCTAACCGGCAGAGATTGTAAACAAGAAAAAAGTCCCCACACCACGCTCACATTTAGAGATCAAGAAGAGGAGGTGCCAGCAAAGGAGCCAGAGAAAGAGCTGCTGTTGGGGTAGGAGGAAGCCAGACCAGTGTGGAGTCCTGGACTCCAAGAAAAGATAGCGTTGCAAGGAGGAGCGAGTGCCCTACTGTGCAAACGCTGCTGAGAAATTGAGGAGGTGAGACCAGGAGACAGACCTTTTGGATGTGCCAATAGGAGGTCACTGGTGACTTGGACAAGGGCAGTTTCAGTGGAGTGACAGAAACAAAAGCTTGGCTGGTGCAGGCTAAGAGGGAGTGGAGGTGAGGATTCGGAGAGGTAGCCAGCAGGGACAACCAGTTCAAGGAGGAGTGCGTAAAAGGGAGGAGGAAGTGGAGCAGAAGCTGAAGAGGGTTTAGGGTCAAGGAAGAGTTTGTTTTGAAAATGAGAGCAATCATAGTGCGTTTATGTGCTGAAGGGAATGGTCTGGTAGAGAGAAGGAGCTGGACAGTGCAGGAGGGAGAAAGATGATTTCAGGCAAAGTCTTGAGTAAGTGAAGGGATGTGGTACACAAAATGAAGGGATTGGCCAGGGATGCAAGAGGAGGCCATCCCTCCATCCATCCGTCCATCTATCCATCCGTCCATCTGTCTGTCCATCCATCCATCCGTCTGTCCGTCCGTCTGTCCACCCATCCACCCATCCATCCATCTGTCCGTCCATCCATCCATCTATCCACCCATCCATCCATCCACCCATCCGTCCATCTATCTATCCATGCATGCATCCATTGTGAGAAAGAAAGGCACCAGCGGGCACAGATGCAGGCACCTTGGGAGATCTGACAGTGAGAGGCAGGTACATTCCAGCTGATGGCATTTAGTTTCTCAGCAAAATAAGAAGCAAGATCTTTAACAGCGAGAAGCTAAGAGAAGGTGTTGAGGGTTAGAGAAGATGTGAAACACTCATCTGGAGAGTGGTGCAGTGAATTTAATAGAGAAATATAGTAGGATGACTGGGCAAGCTGAGTGCTCACTTGAAGTTTGTGGTCAGAAGCATCCAGTGCAGCTACTCAGGATGACTGTGAGTTTCCTCAGCAATGCTTGGCTACTCAGTGCAAGTGCGGGGTGTTGGGTTTAAGCAGGGTGGAGGCTGTGTCAGGAGATTCCAATTGAAGGCAAAGGAGCAAGAGAGGAGGGGGCTTCCGCAAATGGGTGATTCTTGTCAGGACCTACAGAATCCAGCTGGAGAAGGGGGTTGAAGGCAGTGAAAGAGGACAAGTTCAAAGGCGGAGAGTTTCCACAGGGGACACATCATTGAATGGAGGTAATAGAGTAGATGAGCTGAGAGCCCAGGAAGGGTAGTCAGGGAGCAGGGGGTTCAGAAGTGCTGAGGCAAAACCCTGGCCATGGGAGTGGAAGGCAGAGGCAGCAGAACGAGAGGTGGAGAATGAGGAGGCCAAAGACCAAGAGTGGGAGGTGCTGGGTGGACATCTACATGGACGATCTTCCTTGTCCACCATCTCTTAAACAGCTCCCCCATCCTGCCACTACCCCTTCATCTGCCTTTTCCTTTCATGGCCCCTCTGCCTAACATTATTTTATATAGGACTGGTTCATTGGTTAATTATCCTTGCTGCCATCAGAATGTAAGCATCTGAGGGCAGGGACATTTTCTCTCTGGCCTACACCTATAAACTCTATTCTAAGAACAGTACCTGGCACATATCACGTGCTCAGAAACATGTGCTGGACAAAAGAATGAATGTTAAGGTCCAGGAAAAGCATGGAGGAGTGGTGGTGGAGAGGAAGACCATGGACCAGTTACTAAAATCTGTGAATGAGCAGGAGTGGCCTAGAGTATGGTAAATACTAGGAGGGATGGCGGCTGGTCTGGTCTGATGGCATAGCTGCAAAGGAGATGCAGACTTAGGGTGAGGAGGAAGGGGGAGAAACCTACAGGTGGCCATGAAAGCAAGGAGAACAACTCGCCGTCTCCAGGCATACTGGTGTGAGGGATGTGAAAGAAGAAAAAAGATCCAAGACAGGAGGTGGCTGCAAGGAAGCTGTGTCTGGGGGTCAGGCAGGTTTCCAGTAGAACAGGACGGTGAAAGGAATGTTCAGAGGGAAAGTCAAGTGTATGGGGAGATTTCGCTGATGACAAACCATAAGTTCCCTAGAGCAGAGTGAAAGAATCTGGGGGATTGGGTCAAATTAGGAGAACAGAGCTATATGGGGGTGAAAGTCTTGGGGATGAAGGAAGAGTGTCAGGCTTCTGGAGGTGTCTAGGGACACAAGGCCACAGGGCATGATGGGCTCTCCTGAAGGTCTCTCTCGGGCAGGTGGGTACTCCTGCTCATGCCGGCTCCTCCTCCAGCCAGGGCCCATGGGCGGTGGACCACAGTGAGGCAGTGATGTTAGCATTGGAGGGGCCTTGCCAGACACTGAGTGTTCGGGGTGGGAGGAGAGGGCAGCTTTGGGTACTGGAAGGAAAGTCGAGCAGGCACTCCAGAGACTAGATTGTCATCCCAATCTTTCCTACAAACCATGATGTAACATTGGGCAAAATGAGCATGATTTTCCTTATCTACAAAATGGAGAGGAGAGGAGGTCTCTTTTAGCTCTGCAAATCCAAGCCTCTGTCTCCTCCTTTCCTTGACGTCTTCTAGCTCCTGTGTCCTCAGCCCTCCCAACTTGTAGCTAAGCCCTGGCTTTGTATTAACCACCCTCCTTCTGTCAGCATCACTGAGAGGCATAGCCAAGGCCTGCCCTCTTCCTCCTCAATGGCTCCAAAATACTGCTTGCACTGTCCCATGCCACTCTGATCCTAAGCAGCCAAGTGGGCAGGCTGACACTCCTTTGGGCATGGAAGTGAACATCAGCCATGAGTAGGGAGAGGAAACTGCCCACAGAGAGGGCAGACTCCATCAGGGGCAAGTGACAAAGCCACAGACTGACATGAAGAGGCTTCCCAGGCCCTCTGGAAGGGAGCGAAGCCAGCAGCCTGGCTCCTGGGATGGGTTGTCCACTATTCAGCAGCTCCATGGGCCTGGAAGTGAGCCCAGGGAGCCAGCCAGAAGGAGGCTGTGGCCAGAGGCTTGATTTGCAGCCTGGGACTAGGATGCAGGGAGCCGGATTCTCATCCAGGCTTCACCCACAGCAAATGTGTGACTCTCCCTGGCCCTCTGGGCAGGGATTATAATAACTACCTTGCTTACCCCAGTTGCTGGAGGCCAGTATTCACTGAGCATTCATCATGAGTCAGGCATTCAGTAATCTTCACAATGGCCCTAGAAATTAGCCTCTACTATTTTCACGCTTTAGGGAGGAGGTGACACAGAGAACATCTAAGTAACTTGCCTAACACTCCATAGCTTACAAGTGGCAGGGCCAGGATCTTAGCCCTAAATCATACATTAGAAATGTATTATCATTGAGGTCCCTCAGCAATCTTGTGATGCAGGTATTACCATCCATTTTACAAACACGGCAATGGCTCAGAAGTCTTCAGTTATTTGCCCAGGGTCACTTGGCTGACTGTAGCAGAATCAGGATTTGAACCCAGGCCCGACTTCAAAGCCAATCCTCTTCTCATTGGGTTGCACCCCCAGCATCAGCACAGGGACAATTCCTCAGGCTGACTGGCCAAGGCCCCATCTGTGAAAACAGGATAGGAAACGGCAGCCTAACTCTAGGCAGAGCCCAGGCTCAGCCAGGGGGTCTACAGGGCTGAAGAGGCAGCTGGCCAGAGATCCACAGGAAGCATTTTGTTGACACATCTTCATCACTCTGGAATTTGAGCAACAACATTTACCCCTTCTGAAACTCACCCAGAGGAAGTGGATTTTCTGACGCAGATGAAGAGTGAGAACTGTCTACATTTAAGTCTTCTTTGAGAACAATACCAGCTGAGCGGCTCTTTGCATTCCGGCTTCTTTTGAGAATCTCTGAAGATGATTAAGTCGTTGTCAGCTGGTAAGAGTTGGTCTCACTACTTCTCATGTTGGATCATTGAGGCAAGAATCCTTCAAAGAATCCTTTTTGGGTGTCTTTTAGTGAGGAAAAAAGTGGGGACAAAGCTATGTAAGGCACTGCTTGCCAGAGGTCGTGGGGTGGGAAGGGGAAGTGTGCAGAGTTCAGAGCCTTTCTTCAGCTGGGGGATGTGCACTGGCGATGCGTGTACTTGGCTGTGAAGGCCCAAATTTAGGACAGGGAGTTAGAACCACCCACAGTGAAAGTCTAAGGGCCTTTTCATCTTGCAGCCTCACCAGACTCCCACCAATAACACAAATACTGTAGTACAAATACTATGCTCAGTAAATGTCAATCTGCCTCATAAACGGTTCAGGGAAGGCTTTGAGGAGGAAAAAGGTGGAATTTCACTTGGGCCTTGAGGGGAATTTGGGAGGCGCAGAGATGGGAAAAGGAACAAGACTGGGAGAACAGCATGAGCAGGGCATGTGGTACACTGTGGGAGTGTGTCATGGGAGATGAGACCAGACAGCTTCAGAGTCTGGAGTCCTTTACTCCAGGGACCCGGTGACCACGTGGTGTTCTGCGTCGCCTGTTCTCTACACCTTGACTTCTCTTAGGCCCGGAACCATATCCTGCTCCACAAGCTTCATCCTTGGCAAGGAGTTGCACCTGCCCAGAGAGAAAACCTTTTGAAACTGGCACAAAGGCACTGGAGAGACTGGCAAGGCCCCCCACTTGACGATCTGGCTCATCCATCTGCACACTGACCATGCTAAGAGCTATCTGCAGTGTTGGAAAACTTCTCTAGCTGTGCTGTCCTCTATAGTGGCACTAGCTGCCTGTGGCTTCTGAGCACTTCAACTGTGGCTGCAGAGACTATGTTAAATTGTATTTAATCATAATTAATTTAATTTTAGTTTCTGTACTGGGCAGGGCAGGTGCACATTTCCTACCTGGCCACAGACAGTAAGCTCCATAAGAGGCTGATTGTGCCTGGTTTGCTTATAGGCTTATCCTCAGCACCTGCACCAGTCTAGAATATGATTGGCACTCTATTAATTAAAAGTTCCCAGGTAAATGAATTAGTGGATTCTCTGTTTCCTACACTATGCCACAACCTCCTTAAGGGCAGAGATGGTGTCTTCAAAAAAAATAAAACATTCTGGACAAAGATCTACCACCTTCACCACTGTTAAGAGTCCAGGTCAGTAGTATTAACTACACTCACATTGTAATACAACAAAAGATTGTGTCTTTTTACATTCTTAGGGCCCAGCACAGTGTCTGGCACATAATCTTAGTAAACACATGCTTTTGCCAAGGCCAGAACAGAGGTCAGTGACATCCATTACCGCCCTTTCACACATCCACTGGGGCTTTAAAAACGACCTTGAATGAAAGCTCTTGAGTCTACAGAAATGGGCTACAAAGAAGGTTTACAAGATAATCTATTAAGAGTAGGGAATACAGGCTGGGCATGGTGGCTCACACCTGTAATCCCAGCACTTTGGGAGGCTGAGGTGCGTGGATCACTTGAGGTCAGGAGTTCGAGACCAGACTGGCCAATGTGGTGAAACCCTGTCTCTACCAAAAATTATTCAGGCATGGTGGTGCGTGCCTGTAGTCCCAGCTACTTGGGAGACTGAGGCATGAGCATCGCTTGAACCCAGGAGGCAGAGGTTGCAGTGAGCCGAGATGGCGCCACTGCACCCAGCCTGGGCGACAGAGCAAGAATCCGTCTCAAAAAAAGAAAAAGGAAAAAAAATCTAAGGTAAATCTCAATACACATGACATATGGATTGACAGTCACACATAAATATGATTGACATGGACACAAATATTTGGAGGTGCTGCCTGTCCATCTGTTGCTGATTATGTGGAGATCGCTTGTCTAGAACCCTGAGATAGACTGATGTTTCTAACTCTGCCGAACTGGGTCTGTCCCAGCCTCCAGTCACTTTCTTCCTTCAGTTCAGGGAACCCTCAATACCCAGTAAGAATGAAGAAGTTGCAGGTCTGAGCTTGAGGAGGCCTGGACTAAAGGGAGGTTAGCACTGCCAGGGCATTCTGAGGACTGTGAAGAACTGGAATATTGGCCACAGGCATCTATGTATTTGAATCATATCTATTTTTTAGCTCACTCCTAGCACAGGAGTCAAAATTTACATTCTGGCCCCCAGGTACATTTCCAGTCTCTTACTCATAAAATTGTGACATATCACCAGGGGTGCCCAAAGGGGTTTGTGAATCAAGATAGTTTGAGGAGAATCCATTTTCTGATCCTCAGTTTTTCTATGCTCTTTTTCCTAAAAGCAATCTTCCTAAAAAGGCATCTAAGACAAGGCATCCCCTTCCCCATTTGCTGGGGAAGACAGACTTACAAGAGAAAGCTGCCCCTCTCACCCGTGGGACCCCCCACTCTGGGGCACTGCCCTAGGGGTAGAAATCTCCAAGCCATCAAACAAAGTGACTCCTGGGGGTCAAGTGACAGAGGAGCAAAGTCTTTCTGCAAGTCAAGTGGCTTCCAGCTCTGCTTTCAGCAAAATTGAAAGAGGCACTAATCAAATTGTCAGCGGATCATAAAAAAATTTTGATAATAATGTTATTAGGCATATAACTTGGAAGAAGTTCAAAGAATTGAATGACATTCTCATAACAAACTCATTGGCTTCCATTTATTTATTTACATGGACGGTGTTTCTCCATGTTTAAACCTACAAAAAACTAAACATGGGAATAAAATTCATGTTGAACCTTGTGTGGGTCTAGCAATAAGTCATCCACATATACATACACTAATTGGGAAGGAAACCTGTCCCAACCCCCAACCATTTTATTAAGAGATGCATTTCCAGCTGGGCACGGTGGCTCACGCCTATAATCCCAGCACTTTGGGAGGCCAAGGCAAGCAGATCAACTAAGGTCAAGAGTTCGAGACCAGCCTGACCAACATGGAGAAGCCCCGTCTCTACTAAAAATACAAAATTAGCCAGACGTGGTAGCACACGCCTATAATCCCAGCTACTGGGGAGGCTGAGGCAGGAGAATCGCTTGAACCTGGGAGGTGGAGGTTGCAGAGAGCTGAGATGGTGTATTGCACTCCAGCCTGGGCAACAACTCCATCTCAAAAAAAAAAAAAAGAGATGCATTTCCAATAAAAATTTACCTTTTATGTTTAATAGTTGTTTATCAAATTTCATAATTATTTACATTGCTCTGATCAATTTAGTATAAACTATTCTAACACTAAAATCATAACAAAAATTAATGCTCAGCTTTGGGAACAGAGGATTTTTTTTTTTTTTTTTTGAGACAGAGTCTCGCTCTGTCACCCGGGCTGGAGTGCAGTGGCGCAATTTCGGCTCACTGCAATCTCTGCCTCCTGGGTTCAAGCGATTCTCCTGCCTCAGCTTCCTGAGTAGCTGGGACTACAGGCGTGTGCCACTACGCCTAGCTAATTTTTGAATTTTTAGTGGAGACCGGGTTTCACCATGTTGGCCAGGATGGTCTTGATCTCTTGACCCTGTGATCTGCCCACCTCGGCCTCCCAAAGTTCTGGGATTACAGGCGTGAGCCACCATGCCGAGCCAATAAAAGATTTTCAAGCATAAAAAATAAATACAGGCTGGGTGCTGTGGCTCACACCCGTAATCTCAACACTTCAGGAGGCCGAGGTGGGCGGATCATTTGAGCCTAGGAATTGGAGACCAGACCAGCCTGGGCAATATGGTGAAACTGTGTTTCTACAAACAATACAAAAATTAGCCCAGCATAGTGGTACAGGCCTATAGTTCCAGCTGCTCAGAAGGCCGAGGTGGGGGAATCACCTGAGCCCAGGAGGTCGAGGCTGCAGTGAATCAGGATGACACCACTGCACTCCAGCATGAGCGACACAAGAAAACCCTGTCAAGAATAAAAATAAAAAACCTTACATTAGCATAAAATCTGTAACAGGAGTAGAATGGAAATACAAGTTCTTGGAGAGAACAGAATAATGTAAACTTCTAAGCTATTTAATTAGAGTTTGTTCTCCTATTTTTTTAAATGGATAATGTTGGACACAGAATTGCTCTGACATTCAGATTCCACTGGACATTTAAAAGAAAGATACAATTTTTGTTTGAAAATGTCAATATTCATTTTTCTTTGAATTTTCTTGACTATAAAATATAATAAAGGCATACAGAAAGTGAAAAAATATTCATAAAGTGCTTAAAAGGATATCCTTTGGAACTATACAAATTTGTGATGGAAAATTTCAAATGCCAACTTACACACAAGAGGCGAGGTCATGTAAAAATTATTTAAGGGGCTTTGAAGGCAGCTATCTGGGGAGTTAAGGTCTTGTTTGTCCTGTGCCCTCTCTCACCCCTAAGGTACCGGGTGGGCCTCTGGAGGTGCATCTGCCTATACAGGGAATCTTTGATGTAGCAAAACACACACACACACACACACACAAAACACAAAAAACCCTCACAGCGTGCCCTGCCCTTGGGCTCTGGAAACCACCATCCTGCCTGCCCCACTCCTGCTCTCAGCCCCCTCCTCAGGCCTAAGCCTCCCCAGCCCTCCCCACCCCCACTCCACTGCCCCAGCAGTCCACCCCGCTGTCACCTCCCAGCCCTGGCCCGGCCAGCCCTGGAGTAAATAAACCACTGGGCAGGGACCCAGACAATGGGCCTTGGCAAGGAGTTAATGGGCTGGGCCTCTTGCGTTAGCCGAGTGTGACCGGAGCTGGCAGGGGGCCTGGCCTGGCGCCAGCATCGATTACGACCAGACGGAGCCAGGGCAGACTTGGCACGAACGGGCCCCACAGCTGGCAGATTCAGTCACCCTGGCCACAAGGGCACGAGGCCTGCCCTGGGCGCCGGCTGCCACCGCCTTTGCTGCCAGTGTGGCAGGGCCGCTTGTCAGGCACTCAGCCCCCGGGCCCTGACTTCTGGTCCTCCCCAGGGGACTGTCCCTGGTCAGGCCTCTTCCTGTCCCAGGCTGCCTCTGAGGCTGCGCTGTGGCCCCACAGACTGGGTGCGGAGCAGGGGTGGGGTAGTGGGGAGGCTGAGGGTTGGGCTGGGGGATGCGTCTGTGACCGCCGCCCCCTCCGGCCCCTCCAGGACAGAGGGAGGCTACTGAGTCGGCTGGTGCTGGTCAGCAGGAAGAGCAGGTGAAGTAAGCCTCATTTCTGGTGTCCAGATGGAGGCAGGGCCTTTCTTCCCCTGTTCCTCGGAAACCTTCGTGGGCCTGGGCTCTGCTCCGGCTCAGCAGCTCCACCCTGCAGGGGGGTTGGCAGGTGGCAGGGACCCCCTGAGGGCTCGCTGCGTCCCTGCTGAGAAGCTGTTCTAGTCAGGCTCTGCAAGCGGGGCTGGCCTGGGGGAAAGGACATTTCTTGCTTTGTGGGTTCACTGCTGCTCCCAGGCTCTCTGGGTCCCTGTCCCCTGGGCGACGGGCTGTGGCATAACGTCCTCAGGGCAGGCAACGGCTCCATCTGGAGCTGAGGAGCTCCACGGACCCACAGTCTGGCTGAGCAAAGGTTTCTTTGGCTTGACCGCTGGCAGACAGATCATTCCACTGGGCAGAGTCTCCACATTTTAGGGGATGGTCAGTATCTCTCTCCCCAGAGAGGTCCAGAAAACCCCACAGAGGGGAGAAAACACCAGGCCACATACCCAGAGTGACAGCCCCTGCTCTCTGAGGTCACAGGTGGAGAGCTGGGGAGGTCAGGCCCTGAGGGCTGTGGCTGCTGGAGCCAGCTCCACCAGGCCTCATAATCCCTGCAGATGAAGCCGGCGCCCATCCCAGTAGGCAGGGGTGATCCCCACCCAACCCCGCTTCCCCAGGCAGGAAGCTGACACGAGGGTGAGGAGGCACTGGAAACGCGGGAGAGCAGAGGAACGCAGCTGGGGCTCTCACTTTGGCACTAGCTTCTGCGCCTGCCCTCAGTTTCCCTTGTCCCCCTCCGGAAACTCTCGGATCTTTACTTTTTTGTGAGCTCTGTTCTCAGAGAACGTTCTAATACGTGTATAATACCCACTGACTGACTAGTGGGGTGGGGTGGGCTGGGGCTTGGGGGGCCGGGTAAATGTGTGGTCCACCAAAGGATACTAACCCAACGACCCTGTGGCGTTGTGGTCTCCAAACTGAAAGAGGACACAGTGTCAGGTGACAAACACAACTGGCCTGGAGCCAGGCGTAGTGGCTCACTCCTGTAATCCCAGTATCTTGGGAGGCCAAGGCTGGAGGATCACTTGAGCCCCAGAGTTCAAGACCAGCCTGGACAATATAAGGAGACCCCGTATTTACAAGAATTTCAACAAGTAGCTGGGCTAATGGCAGTGCACGCCTGCAGACCAGGCTACTTGAGAGGCTGAGGTGGGATGGTCACTTGAGTCTGGGAGGTAGAGGTTGCAATGAGCCGAGATTGAGCGGCCGCACTCCAGCCTGGGCAACAGAGCAAGACCCTGTCTCAAAAATGAAAACAATTAAAACTAAAAACTGGCCTAGACTAGGGATGTGAAATGTCCAGACATTTTGAACAGATAAGAGGGATGGTGGGAGGGATGAATTTTTAAAAAAGAAATATTGACATTTGGTGGTGAAATATAAATACATACAAATCTTTTCCTCTACAATACTTACTTTTTTATTGTCCTTGAAGGACCTACAAAAATCACTTAGGTCGTTGAGGCACATAAAATGTGCTATGCATAACGTGGCTCATAAAATTGTCACCTTTGTTATATGGTTCCAGAGATGTGAGGGTCTGTTTAAAAGTTAGAAACATGCTGTTAATGGAGACTCTTCATTCTTCCCCAATATTTTTTAAAATCCAAAGACTCCTCAAGGAGTCTGAGTTTTGTCTGTCTGTTTTGTTTCCCCTGGCCTTCATCTGGACTCATCCTTCTGGTGGCCTTTTATGAAGTAGGTTGGAGGCCCTTCATACCGGACAACCTCACACCGTGACCTGCGCAGTTAGCAGCACAGGGCCTGGTGCTTAGAAGGGCCTTGCATTTGGTTTAAAACTCTGTTGCCACCATAAATGCATAGATGTCTTTTTTGAGACAGAGTCTTGCTCTGTCACCCAGGCTGGAGTGCTGTGGCATGTTCTTGGCTCACTGCAGCCTCCACCTCCTGGGTTCAGGTTATCCTCCCACCTCAGCCTCCCTAGTAGCTGGAACTCACAGGCATGTACCACCACGCCCGCTAATTTTTTATTTATTTTATTAATTTCTTTGAGACAGGGTCTTGCTCTGTCACCGAGGCTGGAGTGCAGTGGTGCCATCTTGGCTCACTGCAACCTCTGCTTCCTGGGATCAAGCGATCCTCCCACCTCGGCCTCCTGAATAGCTGGGACTACAGGCATGTGCTACTGTGCCTGACCTAATTTTTTATTTTTTGTAAAGACAGGCTCTCACTATGTTGCCCAGCCTGGTCTTGAACTCCTGGGCTCAAGTGTTCCTCCTACCTCGGCCTCCCAAAATGCTGGGATTACAGGCATGTGCCACCACACCCAGCAAATGCTTCATAAGTTTTTAACAAGGGGCCCGTATTTTCACTTTGCACTGAGCCCCACAGGATAAGTAGCCAGGTCTGCTCCTACCCCTGTCTGAAGCCAACGCTGACCTTCCCCAGCCCTCGGAGCTGTCCCCAGGCCTCACCAGTGTCATCTCTCCAATAGGAGGAGGCCTTCGCCCTTGTGTAACTCCTGCTTGTTCTTGTCAGGAGTGCCTGCCTGCGTGCCTCGCTTCGAGCCTCCCCTGTCCCTGGCCAGCTCAACAGCGTCTCCTTACATTCCCATTCGGCCCTGGGGACCACTGGGAACACAACCAAACACAGCCTGCTCCCGTGTGGCTGTCAGTCAGTCGGGCGTCGAGGCCTGCTCCTCACTCCAGCTGGTGTACCCCTCCAGGACGCATGCCTCGCGCAGAGCCTGCGGGAAGCCTTCAAAGAGGCCGCGCCTTCCTGGCTGCTCCCTTCGCATCCTGATCCAGTCCAATGATGTTTTTGCAATTTTCCTGTCAGCTTGGTGGGAAAAGTTCAAAGAGACTCTGTCTTCCTTTCTGGCTTCCTTTCCAGACGGCGCAGCTTTCTCTCAGCTGCTCCCCTGCCCCACCTTTCTCGAGGAAATCAGTCTCTTTCCTCTCCCCCTCACCCAAAAGGTCCATTCCTGAATGTTCTCCTGAAATCAAGCCGAGGCGGGGCGGTGGGGGATCTGAGGCACAAGGTAGGTCGGAAGTCGGCCAACCACCTGGCTTGGGGCCTCCCTGCCAGTGCCACCTGTGGAGGCCGACTGTTCGGAGGATCGGGAGGGAGACAGGGAAAAAGAGAGCTCCTGGGGTTGGAAGAGCATTAGCACCTCTCGTTAGGGCTCCCACAGTACCCCATCGGAAAGAAGGTGATGGATCTTTCATAACCTGTTTCTCCTGGAAACGCTTCCTAGTGGCCAGGGACAAACAGGAACGTGTCCCCTCTGTGGCCTTTCTGTTGAAGAAGCGTAGCTGTCAGTGCTATTCCCTGGGAAGAGCCTGGCATCCCAGGGGTCTCGGAAGGGGCCTCAGAGTTCAGAATGTGTGACAGTCACTCCCAGCCAATACCATCACTCTCCCAAATCAGGAGTTTCCAGTTCTCCCAAGGCATCCACTGTACCCTGAAGCCCTAGTGAAGGGCTCGGGGAGTGCTCATGCCCCATTATCATTACTTCTCCGTCCGCTCCTCCATCCCTCTTTCCTCCTCTATTAAAAGGGATCCACAGGATTTGAGAGTAGAGGAGGCTTGCCTGCTGCCTCCACCCACTGGAGGAGAGCCTGCCAGGCCCAGGGACAGCCCAAGGCTCCATGCCTTCCCTTTTTCTTTGCAGCAATGGGGTCTCATTATGTTGCCTAGACTGGTCTCAAGCTCCTGGATTCGAGCAATCCTCCCACCTTGGCCTCTGTGCTTTGGAATTAGAGGTGTGAGCCGCCACGCCTGGTCCCGGGCCTTCCCTTTCGAGGTCAGCACTGAAGGCAGCCAGAAACCAACCGTGCACCACCCCAGACCCGAGAAACAAGTCGAAATAGGTAGGACCGTAAGGAAGGCAGAAGCCCAGGTGAACAGTGGGCCCAGAGCCACCAGGAGCTCACTCTCAAACTCCAAATCCCAAAAGAGTAGAGGGGCTGGTTTCCAGAAAGGCCACAAAGTAGACCTTGTGGAGAAGACTCCAGCGGCTCTGGAGAAAGGGGGAAGCAACGTGGGGCAGCAGAAGGGCAGAGGACAATGAGTCAGCACAAATGACTTCCTACCTCCCAAAGGGGAGAGGGGTGAGGATGGGAACTTCCAGTAAGAAAGACTGGCAAGATGTTGGGTAAAAGCTGAAGGGGAAAGAGGTACAGGGGGCAGGAAAATAACACCATTGGAATGAAAATGGTTGCCCTGGAGTCTAGTGATAAGAGAAGGAGGGAATTGAGTGAGTTGGGGGATCTCAGTCATCTCGGCCAATCGCGTGGCACAACAGCACTGGGATTTTCTTGGCAGAATGAATACACAGGGGCTTAGAGACGTGCTGCGACTGAGGGGAGTGCCAAGTGAGAAATGGAAAAGACCAGGAGAGTGGCGAACGGCCTCATGCTCACTTGGCTTCACTCATGCAGATGGGCTGCGGGAGCAAGATGGAAGTCCTGACTGACGATCCACACTCTGGGTCTTCAGGGAAGTGTCAACCTCAGAGCTGTGGTCAGTGCATGGAGCCAGCTACCTGTTGGGAAACAAAAACTTAAGGTAGCTCCTTACCTCACACGTGCCAGTTAGGCTAAATAATTACTATTTTTGAAAGGAAGCAATTTAAAAAGAAAAAAAAAAAAAAAGAAGAAGAAGAATGTATAGGTAAAGACTTGAATATATACATATAGAGTCGAGACAGGGTCTTGCTATGCTGCCCAGGCCAGAGTGCAGTGGCTATTCACAGGCACGATCATGGTGCACTATAGCCTTGAACTCCTGGGCTCAGGTGATCCTCCTGACTATGCCTCTCAAGTAGCTGGGACCACAAGTGCATTCCACTGCGGCCAGCCTTCTTGAACGTTTTTATATGAAAAGTTATACAAGCATAAAAGCAACAGAAGTCACAAAGGAATGGCTTGATTGATTTGGCTGCATTGAAAAGAATTTGTGACTCAAATAAGTGAAATTGTAAGACAAATAGCAGTTTATGAAGAATTCTCATAGACAACAAAATACTAACTCCAAAAGTTAAAAACAGCCAAATACTAAGGAAGGGACAACTCACAGAAGAAACAATGGCAATTAAGTATTTAAATATTTCTTACTAATTCAGAAAATAAGAAAGTGAAAGTTAAACAATGAAATGTCTCATTTTGGGTGGATAGTGTAGCTCATGGCTGTAATCCCAGCGACTGGGGAGGCAGAGATGGGAGGACCGCTTGAGCCCAGGAGTTCTAGACCAGCTTGGGCAACATAGGGAAACCCCGTCTCTACAAAACAAAAAATAAAAAATTAGCGCCGGGCGCAGTGGCTCATGCCTGTAATCCCAGCACTTTGGGAGGCCGAGGTGGGCGGATCACAAGGTCAGGAGATCAAGACCATCCTGGCCAACACATGGTGAAAGCCTGTCTCTACTAAAAATACAAAAAAAAAAAAAAAAAATTAGCCGGACATAGTGGGGGGCGCCTGTAGTCCCAGCAACTGTTCTCGGGAGGCTGAGGCAGGAGAATGGCGTGAACCCGGGAGGTGGAGCTTGCAGTGAGCCGAGATCGCACCACTGCCCTCCAGCCTGGGCGACAGAGCAAGACTCCATCTCAAAAAAAAAGAGGAAAAAAAAAAATTAACGAGCGTGTTGGTACACGCCTGTAGTCCCAGATACTTGGCGTGGGTGGGGGGAAGGAGGGGCTTTTGAGCCCAGGTGCTCAGGAGGTCAAGGCTGCAGTGAGCCACGATCGTGCCACTATGCTCCAGCCTGGGCGACAGAGTGCGATCTTATGTCAAAAAAAAAAAAGAAAGAGAAAAGAGGGAGGGAGGGAGGGAGGGAGGGAGGGAGGAAGGAAGGAAGGAAGGAAGGAAGGAAGGAAGGAAGGAAGGAAGGAAGGAAGGAAGGAAGGAAAAAAGGGAGGGAGGGAGGGGAAAGAAGGAAAACGAAAGTCCCTTTTCACTCATAAAATCAGCAAAATAAAAATGTTTCAGGCTGGCCATGGTGGCTCACGGCTATATTCCCAGCACTAGATGGAAACGTGGTGATCTAGTATCCAGGGTCTGTTTAGCTGAACAAGCTACACCTCGTCCCCTGAGGAGGGAAGACAGCTTGAACCCAAGACGTCGAGGCTGAAGTGAGCTATGATTGTGCCATTGCAGCCTGAGCAACAGAGTGAGACCTGTCTCAAAAAAAAAAAAAAAAAAAGTTTCAAATGATAATACAGTTGACCCTTGAACAAGGGTTTGAACTGCGTGAGTCCACTTATGTGCATGTTTTTTGTTTTGTTTGTTTGTTTTTTGAGACAGGGTCTCACTCTGTCACCCAGGCTGGAGTTCAGTGGCATGATCATGGCTCACTGCAGCCTCAACCTCCCTGGGCTCAGGTGATTTTCCCACCTCAACCTCCCGAGTAGATGGGACTACAGGTATGTGCCACCATGCCCAGCTAATTTGTATATAATTTTTGTAGACACAAGGTTTCACCATGTCGCCCAGGCTAGTCTCACACTCCTGGGCTCAAGCAATCCTCCTGTCTTGGCCTCCCAAAGTGCTGGGATTAATCAGTCATGGTGCTCAGCCCAGATTTTTTTCAATAAAAGTTACACCAGGTATGCCTGCCTCCCCTGCCTCCCCTGCCTCCCCTTCTACCTCCTTCATCTCTTCTGCCTCTGCCACTCCTAAGACAGCAAGACCTACCCCTCCTCTTCCTCCTCCTCCTCAGCCTATTCAATGTGAAGATGGTGAGAATGAAGGTTTTGATGACAATCCACTTCCACATAATGAATAGTAAATATATGTTTTCTTCCTTATGATTTTCTTAATAACATCTTCTTTTCTCTAGTTTATTGTAAGAACACAGAATATAATGCATATAACACACAGAATATGTGTTAATCGACTATGTTATCAGTAAGGCTTTTGTCAACAGTAAGCTATTAGTAGTTAAGTTTTGGGGGAGTCAAAAGTTATATATGTGAATTTTCAACTACTAGGGGTGGGGGTGGTCAGTGCCCCTAACCCCAACATTGTTCAAGGGTGGACTGTGCTGTATTCAATTTTGGTGACCTTGTGTTAGGTAGGACTCTCATATACTGTAAACAAAAGTATAAAATGATACAAACTTTCTGGAAGACAATTTAGGGACAGGTATCAAAGGCTTTTGAGAAATTCACACCCTCTGTATCCAGAGATGGTTAGCAGTCCACTGATCATGCTTCCTTCCATAGTGTGCAGGTGATGCAGGCAAGTGGCTGCCCAGACAGGGACTGTATTCCCCAGTTCTCCCTGCGGGAGGTGTGGCACCATGCGATCAGCCCTTGCTAATGAAAAATGAATGGAGGTGGTGTGTGTCGCTTCCAAGCTGACATGGTAAAGATGTGCCTCCTCCACCCTTTCTTTCTCTGTGTACAGTGGCTTTTGAAGGTACATGCTGAAGACAGCAGAGTGACAAGCTAGATGGAACCTGGATCCTAAATCACCACATTGAAGGCCACCCACCAAATACTCAACATTGAACAGCTCTGTGAGTGAGAAATAAACTTTTATTGTGTGAAGTCTTTGAGATTTGGGGCCTTATCTATTATAGCAATTCGTGTTGCTTACTATGACCCAGAAATTACACTTCTAGGAATGTTTCCTAAAGAAATAATCAGAGAGGCAAAGACTGATAGAATCTAAGAACAATGGACAAAACCCGAAACAGCTATAATCACAATGAATGCTGCAAAGGCCTCTGAAACATGGGAATGGAAAGCGAACAGCAGAGGATGGAAAATAAATTACACAATTACTCAGCAGTACAAATACAGTATTTGTGACGGGAATTAAGAAGAACAACAGTTGAGAAGAAAATGAAAAACTGATCAGCAAGCCTGGTGTTTAATAAGTGTATACACTGACCCATTTGCACAAACATTTTGGAATAGATTGGTGAATGGATCCTGGCATGGAAATACTTTGTTAATTGTGATCAGAAGGTTATCAACTCTTTTTCTCTAAGAAATTCTTTGACATATGATTAAATTGTCAAGGTCTCTTCTTTTTTTTTTTTTTTTTCAGATGGAGTCTTACTCTGTCACCCAGGCTGGAGTGCAGTGGTGCAATCTTGGCTCATGACAAGCTCCATCTCCCAGGTTCATGCCATTCTCCTGCCTCAGCCTCCCAAGTAGCTGGGACTATAGGCGCCCACCACCACACCCAGCTAATTTTCTCATATATTTAATAGAGATGGGGTTTCACCGTGTTAGCCAGGATGGTCTTGATCTCCACACCTCATGATCTGCCCACCTCGGCCTCCCAAAGTGCTGGGATAACAGGCATGAGTCACCACGCCCGGCCGGTTGCCAAGGTCTCTTCTACCTTTTATATGTAGATTTTTCCAGTCCAAGTCTCCTAACATTATTGTTTTCATAACTTTGAAGGCTTTTCTTTTCCTCTTCATAGCTGATCCTTCTCACCATTCTTCCTGGCCTCAGGCAGTGATGGTAATATGGGTAAGGTAAGTGCTACTACCAGAAATTATGTTAAAAATGTATTATGGGCTGGGCATGGTGACTCACACCTGTAATTCCAGCACTTTGGGAGGCCGAAGCGGGCAGATCACTTGAGGTTAGGAGTTCGAGACCAGCATGGCCAACATAGTGAAACCCCATATCTTCTAAAAATATAGAAATTAGCTGGGCATGATAGCAAGCACCTGTAATCCCAGCTACTTGGGAGGCTGAGGCAGGAGAATCAATTGAACCCAGGAGATGGAAGTTGCAGTGAGCCAAGAATACGCCACTGTACTCTAGCCTGGGTGACAGAGCAAGATCCCATCTCAAAAAAATATACGTGTGTGTGTGTGTGTGTGTGTATATATATATTATATATATATAATTGAATATGTTTATACTTTCAAATTACTTTCACATATATTGCCACTATTTTGGATAATTATAATCTCTATGTCAAATAGCGTCTTTCAGACCGATGAGTCATAGTATATACCACAGTTGATTTTCAAGGTTTTATCTTTCAGTTTTTGAAATAGTTAATATGGACACAAAATGTAAAGAGAAAAAAAATTGTTCCTCTTGGACTACTATATTAGTCAGGATAGGCTAGGCTATGCTGCAGTAATAAAGCAACCCCCATATTTCAGTGGACACACAAAAAGGTTGATTTCTCTCTGTGCTGCATGTTCATTCCAGGTTGGCCAGGGACATGGCTCCACATAGTCACTTAGGGACACAGGGTGAAAAAGGCTATTTCATTTTGTAGTTGTGCTATTGGAACAAGCAGCCTTTTCAATCACTGGAACAAGGGAAGAGGAAAGTAAAGAAGGGCACGTGGCATTTTCTGTCTTAGCCCAGAGGTGATTTGCATCATTTCTGCTTATATTTCATTGCCTGGAACTTGTCAAATGACTCACCTAATATACAGGACTAAATACAATGTTTAGCAAGCACCACTGTCTCTAGTTACTTTTCTCATTCTGTCTACCATTTCTTTTCTGGGGCTGACTGTTTTCTACTTATCTTTGCATATATATGACAATCTAACTTCCTGAAATTGTGCTAGATACAGGACATCAAATATGTGTGGTTGTTTCCTCCTCCCATGCCCAGTAGACATTGCTCTCTGATCATGGTACTCTTTTGGGCTAAGCCTGGATGTAGCATCAGAAACCTTCCCAATACAGCCGGCTGCCAGTTTCTCATTATCGCTAGAGATGAAACTTATTTGTCATCCCCTGCCTAAGAATTCCACTAGCCCCGAGGACATGGAACTGACTTGCTTGGTTCTAATCTACACTATTCCATTACTTTCTTCAGGGATGGACATGAAAACTAGCAGGCACCTGACCAATTCTGTTATCTGTACTGTTCACAAATACCTAATCTCAGGACTCCAGAGTTACCATCATTTTGGGGCTCTGGTATTTTCCCTTCCACTCTCTACCACTTTGATCAGGGTAAGAACAATCAAAGGAAACTTGACTTCCTTTACAGCTAACATGGGCTACTACCCATAAACTGGGAGAGAAAAAAAAAAAGAAGAAGAAAAGAAAAAGGAAACTTTAGGTAAAAACAAAAACACAAGTCTTCCCCAACCAGAACTTTGAAACGGATTGGCCCAGCCCTCCTCTCCAGAAGCCTCCGCAGTTTCACAGGTCATTCCCAAACCCAGGAAAGGGAATATTTCTTTCCTATCCTCAGTGACATGGAACAAAGAGAATAGCCTCTGTAAAAATAAAATTTAAAAAAAAAAAAAAAAAAAACTTAAAAAAGAAAATGTCACTTTCCTTAAGGGTTAAACAAAGCAGGATCTCAGGAAAATCTAGAATGTTCTTCCCCTCAGCCATGAAAACTGCTCACCATTTTCTGTTTCTTGCAAGCTTTATCCCGAGCCCCGGGGGTCTCTGGTAAGAGATACTTTAGAAAATACAGAAGTTGGGGCAGGCTGCTGGCTTCCTTGTGTTTTTTTCCTCTCAGCCATTTCCCAAAACTTCTTAAAGTCCTCGCGTTATACAAAGTGAAGATTTGTTCTCTCTACACCAGTAGTTGAGAAGTCTCTCCCGACAAAAATTTTCACTACTGTTGCTGTTTGGAATTGGCTCAGCAGACGTAAACAGGGTCATCTGGGGCCAAAGAGGGTGGGTGTTTAGTTTTAAAGCTCCGGGGTTAAGAGTGAAAGCATGTGACTCCAGCCCGGCCAGAAACAGAGGAGCCTTTGTGTGCAGTGAGTGAGCCAGAGGCAGTCCCGAGGCTAAACACAGGGGGAGCGGGAAGGAGAACGCTGACACAGGTTCCGAGGGGCCGACAGGATGCCACTGCAGGGAGATTAACTCTTTGTTCCACAAGGGGAGCTTCTGTTCATGGCTCGCAGCAGAGCAGAATACTTTTAAAAATAAAACAGCGAGCTTGCGAAGGGACACACATATTTCTGTAGCCAGAGTTGAGAGGAGAGGCAGATGGAAGCAAGTGGGAGCAACAGCAATGTCCCAGCGGGAGTTTTTGGTCGATTAGCCTGGGTACTTCCTTAGGGTCCTCCCATCTGAACACTGCAGGCTCTTCCCGTGATGGTGCTCCCCTCACACACACCCCTTCTCCTGGGCGGCTGCGACGAACCACAGGAGACAGCAGGGCAGCCTGGACCACACCTCCCCTGGTTCCGCTTCCTCAGGAGCGGGGAGGCTGGTGGTTGGCAGGACCCTGCCACAGGGAAGCTGCCAGGCTGCTGATTCAGCCCACCCTGGCTGCACCCTCAGGCACCAGAGCCCACTGGAGTCATCCTTTACCCATGGACATTTGGTGAGCGTGGGCTCTGCTGGCACTGAGCGAGGAGGTGGCTCTCAGCCTGGCTCACCAGCCTACACTGCTCAGAGCCCACCTGCCCCAGTGCCAGTGTGCCCTTCCCCCAACTCCACTTCCACCCAGAAATTGCTGCATTGAACTCTACTGAAGTGAGCAAGTCAAATTTCCTGAAAGTCTACAGAATGTGACTTTCAGACTTTGGCAGGAGGAGGAAAGGAAACAAGGTTCATTTTGCCCTCACCCCGTGGGACTGCTCAGGAGTTCAGAAGCGAGGGCAGCAGTGAGTGGCACGCCTTGCTGAACATCACACCACGAGCACTCACCCTTCCTCCCACTAGTATTCTTTACTTTTTGCTTACATGAAGATTGCTGAGCTCCTTGTAAGCGTCAGGTTCTTTGCTGGATAGCGGGGCTACGGCGGTAAATGAGACAGATGAGTGCCTGCCCACCAGGGGCCTTTGGTCCATCCAGACACGTAGAAAAGCCACTCCCACAATAATGTCCATTGGTGGTCAAGAAAATGGTGACAGTTGTACTGAGTAAATGGTGACTGTCTGTGGTAAGAGGTAAAAGGGAAATTTGCCGGTCCTTGATGGTATGAAATCCAGTCTTACAGGTGTATTTCGGTTTCCCCGGTCTGTGAAATGTCATCAGTTCCTCTCTACATGTCACAGAGGAGTCATGGAAATGATGGGTCTAGAATGGCCATAAACTGCAGAATATTGAGGCAGTACTAAGCCCTGGTGCTCGGGCAAGAGGCTCATCACTCCAGCCTTTGATCTACCAGACTCGGGGGCTGATGAATTTATTCCGTGGTTGCTTTTTAGAATAGTAGCCAGCCCTCTCAAGTGTGTGTGTGTGTTCGCACCTATGAAATTGGCACTCAAGGGCTCAGTACCTATGAAATTGGGCTCAAGGGCACTGGGCAAAAGTAATGGCGTGTTAGAAATGAGGTTGCCACCAGGCACCAAACCCTCTCCACTTCAAAGACAGAATCACGGGGCAAAACCCTGGGCTCACTCAGGTGCAAAACAAGCAGCTTTTATCAGGGTTGCCCAGAACTCCCAGGCCTTTGCCCCTGTCCGCTACTGGGTCTTCCACAGCCCCTAGCCATGCTTTCCTACCCTCCAACGCTGACCACTCCCCACCAGCTCATTTCGCATGAACCTCGGAAGCCCCTTTCTGAGCTCATGGAAAAGCACCCCAGGTTCATTGCCCATCTTCCAGCTGGATACGATCGAAGGCTACAGATACTCTCTCTGGGCTGAAGTTGTGACCTCCAAAAGGACAGGCCCATTTTCATAGCCTCAGTCTCTGAATGTGCTGACAGGAAGTGTACATCTCCAAAATCAAGAATGCAGTACAATAAACACACATGCCTCCAGAGATTGCACCATCCTCCGTCACTGTGTACACAGGGTGAAATGAACAGGTGACAGCAGTAACTGCCTGGAGTATGAGGAAAGTCAGGAGCACAATGGAGAAAAAGCTTGCTTTGGTTTCTAAGTTTTTGCAGTACTTGTTCTTTTGCTTTTTACTTTACAAAGAAAACCATAATCCTTAAGCCTGGGGACCAAGTGACAGGTTCAGACTCAATAATTTTCCTGAAATCTTATGCAAAAATTCTTGAGTCTGAGCATGTCACATGCCTTTTCCCTAGGAGAGGATTCCTACCTTAATTCAGCAGAATCTCAAAAGAGTTCAAGACCTCACAAAAAAA